GTACAGTGGTGCGGTGTTGTAGTGTTTTACGTGTGGTGTTGTGGTACAGTGGTGCGGTGTTGTAGTGTTTTACGTGTGGTGTTGTGGTACAGTGGTGCGGTGTTGTGGTGTCATGATACGGCGGTTCTCCTTGCTGACGCTACGTCAGGCTGCTCTGCTCTCCAGCATGGTGCTGACCGGTGCCCCCACCCTCTGCTCTCAGTGTGCCAGGTGATTGGCATGTACGACTACACGGCACAGAACGACGACGAGCTGCCCTTCTCTAAGGGCCAGGTCATCAATGTGCTCAGCAAGGACGACCCCGACTGGTGGAGGGGGGAGCTCAACGGCGCCATGGGCCTCTTCCCCTCTAATTACGTCAAGCTGACCACCGAAACGGACCCCAGCCAGCAGTGTGAGTAGCACCACCAGACCCTGGACATGAGGGTGGGCAGAGGAAGGGCTGTGTGTGTGGGCGGGTACAGGGATAGCTGTCCAAGCAGATGAGAGACGTTATAGGTGTGGTGTTGAGGTAGAGAATCCCAAATTGCTCTCAGGTCGGACCCACGTTCTTCAGGAGGCCTCTTTGAGGACCTTTCATGCTATAGTTTTTCCCAGTAGGTGTGAGCCCACTGTGTCCAGTCCAACCTTCAGCACTGCTCCATTGTTCTTAGTCTGTCTGTCATGCTGCCCCCCCTCCCAACATTTGCCTGGCGTGCAAGACCTCTGTCATGTTTGCCTCATGTGGTGTTGTGAACATGTCTGCCAGATTCATTTGATTTTTTTTTTTTCTCCTAGCCTGTGTATTTGCATTTTTTTGTTGTGCGTGTTTAACTCTTCAGTTTGCTTATGTGCTGTGTTCTCCTCCTCTTTCCAGGAATCATATGTTGCCCATTTCCCACTCAGCCTTGAAAGTCCTCAAAGAGACCCACTATCCCCTATACACTGCCCCGCGGGATGATGGGAGATGCAGCCCTTGATCATGTGACTCCTGCATGATCGACAGCTGGCCTTTGGGCCAGAAGAACCCACTGCAGAGCAGTTACTATTTGATTTTAAACCATACATGCATGGAAAATCTACAAGCAACCTCCAACTCTTTCCAGCAATTATAATAAATTCAGTAATTCATTGTTTTTTCTTTTTTTTTAGCAAGATTTTTTAATAGACTGTCACAAAGAAGAGCTTGGATAGTGGGTCCTTTTGTGGCTTTCTGTGATTGAAATACTGTATGGGTGTCGTTCTTTTTTGTGCGTTGTCATTGGAGACCTTGGTCATTCTAAACGTCCATCGTTTATGTCCTGAAAAATCAAGGTCAGGCCACCTGACCTGGCCAGTGACCTCTGCCCAAAGCCAAGCAGCTCCCTCACTCTCCCACAGTCCTGCTCCACAGAAAGACCCACTATCGCCAAGCTCAGTGTTGAAAGCATTAATGGTGAACATCATCTGAAGGACCTCCTGGCACAGCTGCTCCACCCCACCAGTGCGGGGAGTCGGAGATCAGTGGCCATGGTCAGATGGGGAGAGTGGTGAGATGGGTGTTGCGATTAATCTGCAGCCCCCCCCCCACCCCCCCATATGAGGGCACCTTTGCTCCCCCTTTTGTGAGTCCAGTGTTATTTTTGTTGTTAGACCAAACGTTATATTAACAGCTTGTGTCTCCATGCTTTTCTTTGCCTATTTTGTTCCAGAAATGTGTTGGACTAAATGGTGTGTTAAACCAAAAAAACAGAGCACACACACACACACACACACACATATACACTCTTTCAGGTGAGAGTAAGGTTATCTTCCCCCATATGATTAATTGGGGATTTTAACACTTTGTTTTTCCACTAAATATATAATTGCATTAAGAAGAACTGGGGTTTTTTAATGAATTCAACTAGTTTACATGTTTTCTCAAGTTTTGTCCAACTACATTTAAAAAAAATGCTTAAAATGCTACAGTTTTATTCTGTATACCATGTCACTACCAATCTAGTTTATTTTTTATAAATCAGTGATTGTAATGGATTATTTCTTTGGTTACTATCTCCAGTATATAGTTTTTATTTTTTATTTCATATGAAAATTAGTTTTAACAGCAGATCGTTGTGAGGGGAAAAAAAATTAAATTACAGCGTGGCTCCGATTTTTCCTTTGTCCTTTTGTTGGAAGTCCAAAGAATGCAGTAAATCACAAAGGGGAGACATTCTCCATTCAGTCCCAAAGTAACCGCAGAACTCCGGTGGGGAAACCTCTGGCAAATCTCCTGTTGTATCTGCCATATAAATGGGTCTGTCTTTAAGTGTTTTACTACAAACAAACCATACATGCCAAAATACTATTTACTCTTTTATTCCCTAACAGTATTATCAATTACTGTAACTCTAAAATTGTAATGTGAAGTACTTGTACAGAAAGTTTTGTTTGCTGTTTTTCAAGACTGGTTCCACGTTACGACATGCTGGGCTCAGCTGGTTTTCCTCCATTATTGGAGAACCCAAGACTCCTGGGACTTTTATGTGCTCTGGTCAGAGACATCTGGGCCTCCAGATGATCCACACAATCCTAAAACTGGTTTCTTTTCTTGTAATAATGCATACGGGGAAATCAGAAAAAGGAAAATAAAATGAAATGTCCTTTTCCATCCGTCTCTGTTACTGAAGCAAATTGAAAATGGTTCTAAAGAATGACATGTACATACGAGAATTAGATTTAAAATAAGCTTTGTAGAAGAGTACAAATCTGCGGCAAAGTGCAAGGAGCGATGGTCTGACGAATTGGCGAGTGACGTTTTTGAATGTATTCAGTGCGAGGATGTTCACCCGAGGGGCCTCTGTTCGCTCACAGTGCGGCTGCTCGCTCACAGAAGCAGAATGACTCCCACATGTTGGTGTCACAGTCTCTTGAAAGGCAGTTCATTTACAGTGTGGCATCGTGAGGCCCAGGTAGACATAAGAAATAAAAAGCATTTTTTTAGAACGCCTTCGATTTCCTGGTGTTTCGTCTGCAATGTCGTACACAGCTGTCTTCTGGTTTGTTGTTTTTTTATTTTTAGACATTGTGTCAGAGATGCTTCAGCTTTATAGAAAATAATAGTCACAGTAAGTCTGATTGTCTTTTCACTGGAAGGAAACAAGTAAACAAAATGACAAATTGTTGCCAACATGGAAGATGAATTCTGACCCTTGCAGGAAGTAGTTCCTTATGTTTGTCTTTGTGTGTGACTTTGAGGGTTTGGACTTGACTGCAGTTTTGCTGATTTAAATCTCCTGGCTGGCAGAGTGATGCACCATTGGGCCCTTAAGTTGCACCAGGGACTGTCTGACCATGTTCTGTGTCACTTTGGATAAACGTATCTGCTTTATACATGTCTCTGATATGAAGATGTATATTAGGGATTCATTCCATGGACGCATCCCAGGGTCTGCTTAATTTCCTGACTGATAACACTGAAACTGCCTCTGTGTTTTCAAAGTCAGGGCTCAAATGGTTGTCACTCCTGGCAGGATGTGCATGGAGACCGGGGGCTCGGAGCTGATCCTGACCCAGGCTGTTATCCCATCCTGTCATGAGTGTTGCATCGTGGGTCCAGGAGGAACATTTTTTCATGTCAGTGTGTATTGTACATGGCTGTGATGACAATATAGCTTGACTTGACTTGACCTGCAGGGTGTGCTGACCTGCATCTCCTGGACATGCTGACACCCACCGAGAGGAAACGGCAAGGCTATACTCACGAGCTCATCGTCACAGAGGAGAACTACGTCAGCGACCTTCAGCTGGTCACAGAGGTATAAGCTGGCGAAGAAATTAGCCTGACCGCCGGAAGCTCGTGTCCTTTGCTTTGTGGCCCCTTCACTGCAGAAACGTTGTATTGTGTGCGCAGGTTTTCCAGAAGCCGATGCAAGAATCCGAGCTGCTGACGGAGAAGGAGGCCGCCATGATTTTCGTCAACTGGAAGGAGCTGATCATGTGTAACATTAAGCTGCTGAAGTATGTCGCGTGCGGTGGTCTGACCCAATGGCATATAACAGAGTTTGGGAACACAACTTAATTTAATTTCTAAGGTCTGTTTATTCGGGGAGGGAATGAATGAGTACAAAATTAAGTATTGTAGGGTACACGTCCTGTGTACGCCCAGTTCCTATGTACCTAGCCAGACCCCAACCTAAACCTAGTGTTAAATGATCATTTTTACTTGGACTGGCTCATAATCGAAGAAAGTGAGACTTTTAGCTTAGAGAACCTAGAATGACAAGAATATGGATTGAAGATCGTTGTATTTTAGACAAAAATTAAATGTAAGAATCTCAAAAGTATATCAATAAAATTTCACGATATTCCCAGCAGCAAAACACGACAAGTTTTCTGGGTTGTTCTGTAAGTCTCTCCTCCTCCATCCCCCAGAGCTCTGCGGGTGAGGAAGAAGATGTCGGGCGAGCGCATGCCAGTCAAGGTGATCGGGGATATTCTGACAGCCCAGCTGCCTCACATGCAGCCCTATATCCGCTTCTGCAGCTGTCAGCTCAATGGTGCTACCCTCCTGCAGCAGAAGACAGACGAGGTGCCCGACTTCAAGGAATTTGTCAAGGTAGCAGCCAGCTCAAGTGGATCATTTTCTACGCAGCTGGGGGGCCGGGCTAAAGTCATGTGCACTTGTTGGTTTGCTTTTGAAAAACTCAGATATATTTGTTTTAAAAATCACAGCTATAATTCAGGCTTATATTAATAGAGTTTTATCAGTTTGCATCTAATCATTTGTATGTATTTTTTTCTTGACTGTTCATCACTGCATTCCTTGTGACTTTGGAGTGCGCTCTGCAGTCCATATCTGGCCCGGTAGAGTATTTAGAACTAAATGGAGGTGCTTCAGGTTCTTTCCAGCATATTCCTGTGGGGGGAGATGTTGAGGTGCCCCAGATGGGCGTGTCGGATATAACACTCCTGTGCTAACGTGACCGAGGACGTGCCGTTTCAGAGGCTGGCCATGGACCCACGATGCAAAGGCATGCCACTGTCCAGCTTTCTTCTGAAGCCCATGCAGAGAGTGACGCGCTACCCCCTGCTCATCAGAAACGTATGTCAAGGCCCAGCCACCTCAAAGCCTGAAATGGTGCTTATACAGCAGAATTGGAAGGTTTCTTGGCAAAGTCACAGTGCTGTGAAGAACCATGCTAGGGCTCATGTGTGTTTTAGTTACACAACAAAATGTTCCACGGGCAGAATGAAAAATGATTATCTCTCTAAAGTTTTTAAACCAATCAGATTGTAGAGGAGGTGGGTCCAAGTGGGCCCAAAACATCTGATTGGTTTGTCCTGCCTCCTCTAATTGGTTGGACCCACCTCCTCTACAATCTGATTGGTTATCTCTCTGAACCAATCACTTTTCATTCTGCCCTCAGAAAATTTTTGTGTAAGTAAAACTCACATGAGCCATGCTCAAGGCATAAACCAGGCCAAGACACAAGCGAACAAAAAGTCTACTTAAGGTCCAGTGGCCACCAGGGAGCGCCCCAACTGATCAGCCTGTCAGAATGGGAATGAAGATAAATAGTGACATCTAGGTTAATCAGATTTTGCTTAGGGCCCCAAAAACGGTTGGGTGGACCCAGCACAATACATCAGAACAATGTGGCGCCTCGCACTTTAAATCAATCAGGCTGATACTGGGATTATCCCCAGATTCTGGAAAACACGCCTGAGAGCCACCCAGACCACAGCCACCTGCGGCAGGCCCTGGAGAAAGCGGAGGAGCTGTGCTCGCAGGTCAATGAGGGCGTCCGCGAGAAGGAGAACTCGGACCGCCTGGAGTGGATCCAGACCCACGTGCAGTGCGAAGGGCTATCCGAGGTACAGTAACATATTCATGCACATCTCTGTAAATGAGGCTCTAGCTCACCACCAGGCTTGCTGCTTCACTGCTTAAGTTGCAATTGTTGTACAGAATCCTCCACCACAGGAGGGAGACATTTGCCCTTGTAAAGTATCTACGTGTTTTTTTTTTTTTTCCTTAAATCTCAGTGATGGAAATGTTAAGCAGACATATTTGTGCCAAACATGTTTGACTTCTGGTGTATATATTAAGAAAGCATATATTTACTAGTGCAATGCTTCTCTCCCTTCCTCTACACTTTGTCCCGAAGCAACTGGTGTTCAATTCAGTGACCAACTGCCTGGGACCTAGGAAGTTCCTGCACAGCGGAAAGCTCTACAAGGCCAAGAGCAATAAAGAGCTGTACGGTTTTCTGTTCAACGACTTCCTGCTGCTCACCCAGATCATCAAGCCCCTGGGCTCCTCGGGGTCAGAAAAGGTCTTCAGCCCCAAGTCTCACCTGCAATACAGGATGTACAAGACAGTAAGTAGACATCCCTGGGAGCTGAGGAGATGTGATGGCATACAGACCCTCTGGCCTCTCTGTGCAGTAGTGAAGACTGAGTGACCTTCCATCCAATCCTTGGCATAGTGCATGCTTTGTTGTTGTCTATACTCTGTGGTGTAATGAACACTTCATGTTTCTGCATACTCTCAGAGATCTTCTGTCTACCCTGTGGGATAGTGTACACTTGGGTTCCCTAAGAAAAAAAATCACATATTTTAATACATTTACATTTACATTTCAATTTAGGTTTTATGCATGAAATACTCGTGTGTGAAATTTTCCATTACGTTACAGTCTTACACCTAACAATGTTTCAGTCAGTGATGGACCACATATACGATGGTGGTCCCATAAGAATATAATGGAGCTGAAAAATTCCTAGGTTTGCATAAGTACACACTATGAAGTTCATACAACGACGAAATCACCTAACTAGGGGTGGGCGATATAACCAAAATCTTCTATCACGGTAGAAGCAATTTTCTACCTCGATAACGATATATATCACAATATAGCAATTTGTATCTG